ACAGGCAGACAGAACCCTCAACAGTCTTGATAATTGTATTTCACACCCAGCTTTAGCCAGTCCTGGATCGTGGGCACACATGTTTGGTGTACTCAGGGAGTCTCCCAGACTTGATCCAGCAACCTCCCCATGTGGGTGAGCCTTGCAGTGTTGCATGTTAATACTGCTCTCCCAGTGACCCGCCTCTAAAGAGGTTATTTTTCAAGCGGACTGTTGTCCTTGTCTCTTCTACTCTAAGCTTTCTCCCTTGTTAGAGATAATTTTAAAAAGATCCTATGACTTATTTTTTCATTTTGTCTCTTCTGCATGTTGAATTTTCTCCATTGTGCTTGGTGGAGGGTCTTAGTTTCATTCTTGAAACATCAGTATTCTGGGTTCCTGAGAGTTTTTCTTGGAAGCATGAAATATGGCAGAAGCCTTGATTAAAACCCTTTGTGGTGGTGTAAGTACGGGCAGCATGTGCTATCTGTGGGTTCTGCATCTGCAGACTCAACCGATTGCTGATCAAAAAAAGTAAAATAATAATAATAATAAAAGGTGCATCTTACTGCACAGACTTGTTTTCTTGTCTTTATTTCATCAACAGTACAGTATAACAGCTATGTTCATAGCATATGGATTGTATTAGGTATTATAAGATTGGTAGAGCTGACTTAAAGCATCCAGAGGTTGTGCATGAGTTATCGGTAGGTACTGCATCATTTTTTTTTTTTTTTCGGAGAGGTTTTTCGCTATAGGGCGCATGCGCTCGCCAGACAGACAGAGAGTGACATAGAGACAGAAAGCGAGAAATCATCCCCCCAGGGGGGATGGTCACACCACAATCCCTTCTCCTCCATTCTCCTCTCAGGATCTTGGGCACGCACGTACACGCGCCCGGCATGAGTTTAAGCCACCGGGTCCGGGATGCGCACCGCGGTCGACTACGTGGGAGTTCAGCGACATAGCCATTACGCTAACTGCTGGTTCCCAAGTACTGCATCATTTTTTAAGGAATGAGAGCATCATGGATTTTGCTATTTATGGGCAACCCTAGACCCAGATACCAAGGGATGACTGTACTTCGCAGCCCGACTCCGGCTTCTCTAGACTCAGATGCAGGATGGTGCAGGAGAGGAGGGTAGTGATACTTATGTGGAGTTGATTTCTGCACTCTGGATCTTTTGTGGGGGTAACTTGGGTCATACCTGAGGACTAAATCTAAATCTGGGGGGGGGGTGTGTTGTACATACCAATGAGCTCTTCAACTTCCCAGTGACCCTTTTGTGCATTCAGGACTGAAGATTACTCATTCAAAGATGGTTCCTGATGATTCTGGTGTTCCCAGGCTTACTGTTTTCTTATCTCTGGATCTTTGTAACCTGTCTTCTGTTTCTAAAACGAACCACTTATTCCTTCTTTACACAAGTTTACTCTTACCTGCTTGTATTTTTGCTCAGGCACGTTTTTCTTTGATAACTTATTTCTTGTGTTTCATTTCCTCCTCATGAACCAAAGATGGTGGAGTTGAACAGAGAAAGTCTCAAGGCCCTGTGGGAGCAGGCTCCATGGTAGAGAGGCTCCATGTCCATGGGGGTTGTTCTAGTGATCAGTCCTGTAATAAGTTGCTCTAACAAGCAAAAGGTAGGGCTCATAGGTCAGGCATTTGAAGGAGGCTGAGGACCAAATTTCTTAGAGAAACTTCTTGTACACTTCAGTATAACTTGGAACTTTGGGGTATTGAGGTTGGAGTTCTAGAAATCCCTGTGGTTTGAGGGCCAGCACGTGGCATGGTAGTTAAGGCTGTGGGTCCACATGGCCAACTAGAGTTCACATCCAGAATCTAGCAGCTTGAAAATCATGTCAGACGCATGTATGTGTGATTAAAATTTCATGAGGAGAATGGAGGAGAAAGTATTGTGATGTGGCCTTCCTCCTGGTGTGTGTGTGTGGGTGTGTGTGCGTGTGTGATTTCTCACCCTTTCTCTGTTTCTCTCTCTGGCATGCACATGCACCCTGTGGCAAAAACTTGACAACAACAACAAAGAAATCCATGTGGTTTCATAGTTGGGAAGGATTCTTGTGAAGAAAAAAGGACTATATTCTTTTTTTTCTTTTTAAATTTATAATGAAACAATAGAGCACTTGAATGCACACAGGAAACTGGGAAGTGAGGATAAGCCCAACCCTTCAAAGGATTTGGCCATGCCATGCCATGACCTCCTTCTCCCAGTCCTCTGGTCCTTCCTCCAGGATCCTGGCGTACTTGCAGGCCTCTGGCACGTTTTCAGGCCAACCAAGCCGAGAACTCAAATTGTGTTGGCACTTAGTTTCCATGTCTGTAGTCTAGTAAGCTAGTAGCCTCGCACAGAGGTTGGGCTTGGGCTATTCAGGGTGGAATTTTTATGTGAGTGACTTTTGGCCTTGTCGCTTGAGTTTAAAATTTCTCAGTTTACTAGTTTGATAAGGAGTATTTTCCTTCATTTCTTACTAGTAGAAGGTGAGAATCAGTGATGGCTAGGTCCGTGGGGAGGTTAGGCCACATACTGGTATCATTCATTAATGAGTCCATCTGCCTGACTGGACTATTAAACATGGCCTCTCAGCAGAAAAGTTAGGGGGCTGGCAGGTGGCCTGGTGGTTAAAGGGGCGGGACTCCCACATCGCAGACCACAGTTCAAGTCCTGGGCCTGGCGGCTCGCTTTCTTGCTTTCCCTCTCTCGCTCTCTTGTTCTCTTTCACTCTTGATCTCACTCTGTCCTTCTCTGGCCACATTTTAAAATAAATAAATAAATAAATAAGGATAAATAAAATAGTTAAGAATAAAGTTAGACAAGTAGGTGGTAATGACCTGCCTTTATTGCTTCTGTGATTCTTTTCACTCTTAACATCTTCTGTTTGAACCACACTCACATCAGCTTAAGTGGACAACTGTGTAGCAGGCAACAGTGATGCCTGGAAACCTTGGGAAGTTTCTAGAAAGTTTGGGATGGCAGGCAGTACTTCTGGGCTTCTGACTGGTAGCTCAGGGTTGGATGTTGGTTAGCTGGCTGCGCGTGGCTGCTCCTGGGCTGGGCTCCCCCAGTGTGCAGCTGGGTACTCTTGCTTCTCGGTACAAGCCTCCGGATTTTCTTTTTCTTCTTTGGAGAGGTTTTTGCTATAGTTTGTGTGCACTCGCCAGACAGAGCGAGACAGAGAGATAGAAAGCGAGAAATCACTCCCCAGGGGGGATGGCCACGCCGCAATCCCTTCTCCTTCATTCTCCTCTCAGAGTCTTGGGCACGCACGCATGCACACACTCCTGGCGTGAGTTTAAGCCACCAGGTCCGGGACGTGAACCGCGGTCGACTACGTGGGAGTCCAGCGACATAGCCATTATGCTACCTGCTGGTCCCAAGCCTCCAGATTTTCATCTGTGTATATTTGAGATGGTCTGTGTGGTGACCCTCTGTGGTCTTCCATAAACTCTTCGTGCCTATTGAAATGAATGAACGGACATTTTGGAAATCTAACAGTGATTCTTTATGTCCCTGATATCTGATGATCTTATCTTACTCGTGATTCTTCAACACTTTCCTTCATTTCAGTAGATGAAAACTTCCATGACCTCATGGAAGGTAGCATGGTTGGTGAAGCCTGTGAGTCTGTGCACGTGCCGGTTGACAGGAGTGATGGGACTTTTATGTTTAACCCATTTGTAAGCGTCCTGATGAGCACTAGTTGGGTGGGATTAAAGTGTGTGTTAGTTGTGTTTCCTTTTTAAAAATTTCCCTTCCCTTCTCCCACTTCACATAGACAGAAAACAGCCATCAAAGACAAACCCTGCAGTTGTTTACCATTTCTTTGTTAATGGGGAGGGATTGCCTAAATGGACAAGCCTGTTTCACAGCCAGGCTCTTGAAAGGTTTGCAAACTTTTGGCATTTGTCTTTGGAGAAGTCAAGAGGAAATGATGTTGAGGCCTACGTGTTTGCTTTGGGTGACCTGAATTGGCAAGCAGTGCTCAGTTTTCTTCGATGGGGGAGGAGGGTCCCTTACCAGGGTTACGGGGGAGGAAGTAGGTTATGGGGTGGAGTGGCCATTTGGCAGGGAGAGGGATGCAAGCATGAAAAGGGAAACTCTTTTGCCTGTGTTGAGTGTGGCCCCTGTCGTGCTTTGCCTGTCCTTGTCTTTAGTTGTAGAGAACATGGCTCGCCCCAAGTCTTATTCAGCAGGTAAGCATCCGTGCCTCCAAACTCATTGTGTGGGATTGTAATTCTTGCTTTGGGGAATAATGATGAGTAATAGTTTAACTTTTGAGTCTTGACTGACTAAGCCAGGGCATCCATACTTCTGGGCTCACCCTAGTTTCTGGTGCTGTAGAGGCATAGTTAATCAATGCCTTTTGTTCTCAGGAGCCTGGGAACTTCTTAATCCTGGGTCCTTTTTAATACTTCCAACAGATTGGGGACTGGGTTCTTTTGGAACTACTGATACGTGGAGTTTGAATTGGAAGACATTGGAGGGTCACTTTTGATCTGCGTTTGTGTGCATATCTCGGTTTATAAAGGCTCCTTAAGCAGAAAAAAGTGGCGAGAGTAGTCCTCTGTGAATGAGCCTTCTTAATTTTCCTTAAGTCTGGGGTGTTGAGAGTACAGAGGTAACAGGCAGGGTGTGAGCTGGGCTGTGTATACACAAGCAAATTCCTCATCTACTTTTGGCTACTTTTTTTCATATTCATTTTAGGCCAAGATTTATTTAGTAGTTTGCCAGGTGTGTTGTAATATTTCTCGAGCACCCACAGTGTACCAAGCACAATGTTCTAGAGGTTTGTTGGTTTTGAACTTAGAACTTCGACTTCAGGTTAAAACTGTTACATGCTTGTCTGAAAGAAGAAAGCAGTTTTGTTTTTCTTTCATATTAGCGATGAATGTTATGCTTTGTCAAAATGCCTTTCAATGTGCTGATAAAGTTGTGTTAGAAAAACTAGTGTGGTATGCATTTCTAATTAGGGCTTTTTTTTTTTCCTTTCTTTTTCTTTAGGAAGGCACCAAAGTAATTCAGCCCATATTTTTGGGAAAAATCATTAATTATTTTGAAAGTTATGGTTCCACCAACTCTGTGCCTTTGCACACAGCTTACGCCTACGCTACAGTGCTGACGGTCTGCACTCTCTTCTTGGCCATCCTGCACCACTTATATTTTTATCATGTTCAGTGTGCCGGGATGAGGTTAAGAGTAGCCATGTGCCATATGATTTATCAAAAGGTAAGTGACATTGAACATCAAAACATGGACTTTGCCTGAACCATCCGAAACATTTTGGGAAATGCTATATCAATTAAGGACTGCATTATTATTGGGTCATTTGAAAAGTCATGACATTTTTTTTCTATGCAAAAATATGGCATGATTTTTCTTAATCACCAAACAGAATCATTTAAACCTTGCTGGGGAAGCTTGTTATTTGTTTTAGTCTAATTATTTTTTTTTATATTTTTTCCTTCAAGCATACTTTCCGTTCTGATCCGTTCTGTGCTGATAACAGAATTAGTTGAGTCTCGTAATTTATGAAACTAGAGGTTTGTTCATCTCATGATTCAGAGGCCCACCTTCTCAGGTTGTATCCGTGGAGTGTCTTCTCTCTGGTAGATAATGTGGCAGAGGCTAGGAGCTCCAGTGGGGCAGAGCTGGTGTGTCTGTGTCCTTGTGCCTCTGTCTCCTTCCCTGTCCTTATAAGCCCACCAGGATTTAAACACTGAGGTCCCTCTCTGAAGGCTAATCATTTCCCGTAGGAACCTTCCTTCAACGCCACAGTCAGATTAAGTCTCCTCTTAATGCCATCACAATACAACCACTTTCCAACACGTGGGCTTTTAGGGAATGCATTCAAAACATAGTATCTTCCCAGTATATGATTAAAATTTTCTTTTACTGTCAGGTCAGAGCTGCTTTCTGTAACGTTTGGTCGTTGGCCATTGCAAAATACTAAATTTATAATGAAATGCAATTTTAACAAATCACATTGATTTTCAGTGTTTATATGCCTAACACTTGCAGCTGAGTTTTTTGAAGTGTACTGTACATTAATTTATATTGAAGTTGCCTTTTTTTTTTTTTTAGTTTAAATTAGAGGTGCGATTGACACAGGGGAGGAGCTCCGTCCTTCTTGGCAGTGGCTTTTTGCGTGATGGCCAGGACATTGTTCAGGTCCTCGCACTTCCTCTTTGCATGGATGTGTATCTCCACCCTTTTCTTGATGAACTTGAGAGCTCGCTTGTCCTTGTAGACCTGAGCAGCTGTGTGGCACGCCATTCGTAGGGGGAGAAGCCTCACTCCTCCTGGATCATGTTGCACACAGACTTGGTGTACTTGGTGAGCCACCCATGGCGGCAGTGGCTGTGCCTCGGCCTGCTCACATTCTTGGTCACTTTGTGAGCCTTGTTGAGGCCCATGGCCATGTAGTAGTGCAGAGCCATGGCTGCTGCTTTCCCAAAGTTGTATTTAAAAAAAAAAAATTATTTCTGTCTCTTTGGCAAACACATGCACCCTATAGCAAAAATCTCTCCCCCTCAAAAAAAAAAAAAAGAACTTTAGGGGGACCTGCAGATGGCATGATGGTTGATGGTCACACCAGTGGACTCCCATTAATCAGCTGTGGTTTGAAACCCGGACTTGACATGCTTGGTGCATGTGCATGAATGCCCAAAATCCTGAGAAGAGAATGGAGTAGAAGGGATTTTGGTGTGGCCATACCCCCTAGAGGGTGACTTCTTGGGATTTTCAAAAATCTCTAAAAAAAAAAAAAAAAAAAAAAGTGAACTTCAGTGAAATTACATCTATAATAAGATTCAGGTGAAAACAATAGGGAATTATTATGTTTCTTAAATAAATAATTATATTCAATATAGTTTTACTAACTAAAGAAAAATATAAGTGGAAACCATAGCAGATACAAACGGTTTTTTTTATAAAGCTAGTTAACAATTGTTTTTAATGATATTTAAGGAGGTAGTTGGATGTTTTGGATAGCTTAGTTTTCGGTTGTTTTTAGTAATTTTGATTGCTCTTGCAGAATTTGTATTTTTTAGGTTTATTATAGGGCGTGCATATTCACTAGTGACAGAGTGGGAAAATGAGAAATCATTCCCTAGACAGGATGGCTCTGCTGCAGTCCCTTCCTTTTCAATCCTTCGTGGGATATTGTGCATGCATTCACCCATGCGCATTGTGACTTGCAAGCCATCAGGTCTGCTTCTTGAACCATGCTCGGCTATGTGGGAGTCCAGCACCTTAACTACTATGTCACTTGCTGGCCCCTCATATTAAGTTTTTACATAATATTTCTTTTCCCTTATTGCAGTTTTTATTTGTGTATTTCTTCTGAGAAAGTTCGCTTGAGCCCACACCTAACAGGGTCCTATTTCTGGCTCCATCCCCATCCTTAGCCAGCGCCTAACCATGCCCTGAATACTCGGGGAGGTATCTGGACTCAAACTTGGAACCTTTCTAAGTGGGTCAGCCTCAAGGGCATCATGTTTTACTGCTGTACCACCATTCACCTCCCTTTACTAAACTTTTAATAATAAGATCTGTTTTGATGTGTTCAGTGCTTTTTGTATTGCGACATGCCATGAAATTTTCCCATAGTTTGTCTAGTTTGTCCTGGTCTTTTTTTTGGGGGGTGGGATAATTTGTCTAGTTTGTCCTGGTCTTTTTTTGGGGGGTGGAGGGGTGGGAGGAGAGGTTTTTGCTATAGGGTGCATTGCGCTCACCAGACAGACAGAGAGAGACAGAGAGGCGGAAAGCGATAAATCACTCCCCAGGGGGGATGGCCACACCACAATCCCTTCTCCTCCATTCTCCTCTCGGGATCTTGGGCACGCATGCACACGCGCCCAGCGTGAGTTTAAGCCACCAGGTCTGGGACGCGAACTGCGGTCGACCACATGGGAGTCCAGCAACATAGTTATTACGCTAACTGCTGGTCCCTTGTCTTGGTCTTAATTGTTGGGAAAAAAAGTAGGATCTCAGATGTCTTTAGAAAGGTATCATTACTAAAGAGATACAAATGTCAGGAGCTGAAAATCTCTTTGTAAACTTTACTCTGAATATCTTTTTTGTCCTGAGCTGTTCGCTTAGATATTTTTCATTCGTAGATAAAAACCAAACATTTCAAATGTAAGTTATCACTTATTGCTTATTGTTACTTAACTACATGGCGCTCCTGTTTATTGTGAATCTTTTTCTCAGTAAAATTCAAGATGTCCTCTCCCCTTTACATATCTTCTTTGAGCAGAGTCTTATTATTATTATTATATTTGGAGAGGTTTTTGCTATAGGGCGTGTGTGCTTGTCAGACAGAGTGACAGAAAGCGAGAAATCACCCCCAAGGGGGGTGGCCACACCTCAATTCCTTCTCCTCCATTCTCCTCTCGGGATCTTGGGCACGCACACACGTCCTGCATGAGTGCAGCACTTGAACTATGGGCTGACTACATGGGAGTCCAGCAAGATAGCCATTATGCAAACCGCTGGTCCCGAGCAGAGTCTTATTAATCTTGGGATTGCATGATTCCAGAAGGCCTCATGTTTTATTATCCATGGAAGGGTATGACAAGTTCGTCCTGTTTCCTCCTCTGTGATAGGGAAATGGTAACAATGCCCATACACTGTAACTATAAGTCGTTATCTTTATTATTTGCTTGCATTCTGTTCTGTGATTCAGAGATGAGTACTCAAGGTTCATTATGAACTAGTTAAATTTCTATATCCAGATCATGCTTATTTCCAGTAAGTTCATAGGAAATGTCACTAGAACCTTCAACACTGCAGTGAGGTGTAAGGTGCTGATTCAAAGAAGGCTCTTTGCACAGGTGAGCTGTAAACTCACCTGTTTTTCTTCCACTTTGCACTAACGCTTTGGAAAGTAGCCTCTGGGAAATCCGATCTGACCTGGCAGATTTGCTTACCTGAATGTAAACATCTCCCAAAGGTATTAATTTGCCAGCTTGATTATCCTAGAAGAATTGTCTCTTTATGAAGTCAAGAACTGCTTGGGTCAAATCATAGACTTAACCTGAAATTCCAGAAACGTGGGAAAGATGAATGTCCTGGTGTACTGCTCTCTATCTGGAAACGTGCCCGGGTGAAGAAATAAGACACTTCTTCATGAATGTGGGCTGCTGCCTTCGGGCAGTGCAATGCTGAGAGGCTCCTCTGCAATGTTTGCAGTTTATGCTCCGGCCCTACCTCCTAATCCCCAGTCCTGGGAGAAATCATGCTGGGTATTACAAACACAAAGACGACTGAGCTCATCGTTGTGGTTTGCCGGATATTAAAATGACTTGGCCTATCCATGGTAGCACACACTGGTAGATGCTATTACTTGGCAAGGGGAGTCCACATGGGAGGCCTGCGTTTAATTCCCAGTCCACCCTAAAAGCCAGACACAATGGGGCATGCCTGTAGTCCCAGCTTCTTAGGAGGCTGAAGCAGGAAGATTGTGATGTAGAAAGACCTTGTCCAGAAGCAAACAAACAAACAAAATAGCCAAACCAAAAAGTAAAAACAACCCAAAGACAGAAAATAAAAAAAATGTGTAATTCATTTATGTTTTCATAGCTTTGGTAAAATTATTTTTGGATTTTCATCATTGATTTTTTTTTTTCTTTCCTTTAGTTTTTTTTTTTTTTGTTTATTTGTTTTTCACTATAGGTGCATGCACTTGCTAGAGAGAGACACAGCGAGAAAGTAGTACCATTTCATGTGTGACTTATTTCGTGTGGCACGTCTCCCAGGTGTATTCATGTTGTGGGATATGTCAGAATTTAATCCCTTCTTGAGGCTGAATATTTCATTGTATGGATATGCCACATTATGTGGCATATCATCTATTAGTGGGTAATTGGGTTGCTTCTAATTCTTAGTTTTTATGAATAATGTTGCTATGGACATGGTATGCAAATGTCTCTGAGATCTTGCTTTCAATTCTTTTGGATGTATATTCTCAGACTAGCATTGCTGGATCTTGTGATAGTTGTTTTTTTTTTTTTTTTTTTTTTTTTTTTTAAGTTTTTGAGGATCTTCCCTCCCGTGTCATAATAGCTGCATCATTAAGCATTCCCATGTATTCGTTGATTTTTTTTTTTTTTTTCTGCTGAGAACTAAAGAGAAATTTTTATGAACTGTGACAACTGTGTTTGGATTGGTGGCTCCAATGGTGTTCTGTTAATGTGGCTCTTGTGAGATGTTCAGGTTCCTCACAT